TCTATGAGCGCTCATTGCACTGCAGAACATGTCAGATGGTGATATTAAAGCACATTAAAACAACAACATTGATAAATGTGACTGCAAATCTGTTTAATGAACACAGATGCAAACRGCCACCGTGTCTTATGTTATGTGGCAAATATAAACTCTGTAAGGCAGTGAAACTATAAACTAAAAGTATTGCTGTAATTTGCATCTCCCTGTTTTTTGCTGCTGATAGTGGTGACATATAATCTGCATCTAAAACACCAAAAGTAGATGCAGCTTTGCTCATTATTATACCCATACCATTAGCTACAGAAAAGTAAAAAAATATGTTTTATCTTTTTTTTGACTAAGCTCATGAGCAAAAATATGGGACATGCATTTCCCAAAACTAAGAACGAATCTCATTCCACAGTTTGTCCATAAGAGCCAGTGTCTCACTGGGTTTGACCAAAAGGCTAGTCTGTGATGTAAAAATGTGAAAAAAATTATTAATTTTTCAGCTGGAGGCTCTGAATTCTGACTGTTTACAACGAAACGACCAGTGAGCCTTGCAGCCACAAGTTTTTGAAAATCAAGGCCAACTTTTGTGTGCCTGACTTTTTGGTCATGCACAATATTTTTTTGCCCACATCTTTGTGCCCACCGCAGCATTTATAATTTTAAATGAAGGAAGGCAGATTAGAACCAGCCATTTTCCCCTTTCTGGTGCTGATCTCTAACTGTCGTTACTGGCCACATAGAGACAAACAAGATAAACTACTATTCACTCTCTCGCTCACAAGACAATTTAGGGCTACTAATTAACCTGCGACACATTTATTTGCCCTGTGGGATTAAACCAGAGCACCCAAAGAGAACCCACACATGCAGAGAGAAAACATGCACACTCCACACAGAAAGGTCAGGAGGAAAACATGCAACCTTCCTGCTGTGCGGCGACAGCTCAAACCACTGCACCACTCAGAATAAAATCAGTTTAATCAGTATCTGTGCCTTAGACATTTTCTAGCATAAGGAGAGCTTCAAATCAAAGCTCTTAAATACCAAAACAGACTAAAAAACACAGAAGAACAAATAATTAGATGATTGCCCACTGTGCAATCCAGCAACTTTTCCTTGATTTCTTTTAAAATGCATTTTTGTTTTCTGTTTTTGGTTTCCTTTAATAATTAAAGCATGCAATCAGCAGACATTTAATTCAGCCATAAGGATGTCCTAAACCCAACTTTCTGCTTGAGACTATTTCCGCTGGTTTTACTCTCTGCTCTAATCCTCAGACCTGTACCTCATCTAGTTTTCTCTCCCTGGTTCATAGTAGTTTGTTTCTTTGCACACTCTTTATAACCTGATAAACCTTTGTTATTGTTGGGTTATGAGTCTTTGATGAAACKCACCCTGAAGTGCCTTCTTAAGTTGAAAAAGTTTGTTTGCCTCGTCCCTCTTTAAGCTGCATTTAACTGTAGCTCCTCATCCACCACTCCTAACAATCTGAGCAGCTACTCTGACAATTTACCAAAATAGAAGTTTTGAAATGTCCAGTTTTCTTGATGTTGCAGTATTTATTATGAATAAGAATTATAAGAGCATACATGAAGATCGGGAGAATGACTTGCTGTTTATAAAACTGATACTCTCTCCATCATAGCCTGGTAAATAAAGTGATAGGAGAGATTCTTGTTGCAAAAAAAAGTATGACATTTTGACAAATTGACAACAAGTATGCGCTGCAGTTTTTTTTTTCCTGGCAACAAGAGCCCCAGGTGAGTAAATTCATCAGCATCTCAGACAGATGACTTACAGCTCAAACAAAAGGATTTGTAACACAATACAAGAGGGAGGGGGAAAAACACATACAACTCTTTGTGCTTCTACTCTTAAACCCTGAAGGTGGTATTCTATCTTTGTCACACCTGACACGACTCCCACATGTCCACTTTGCTGCACAATGATCAAATAAGAACAAAAATMCATGTTTAACAGGGAGAACTGCTGTAGGTAATGTGATACAGCCTTCACCTCATACTAGTTTCTCGTGGCAGGTGTACAACTATAACACCATCCCCCCGACTGACATCACATCGTTCCCCAGATCACAACAAGGCCAGCAGGGTTCTCCGTGTTCTGTGTGCGTTCAAAGGCGCCTTCTGGTAGCCCATAAAGCCCCATCAGGCTCTAAGCCCTGCAGTCATTCAATTACGAATTTACTGGGCTATTGATTTCACCACAAGGGTAGCGTCTCACATCTTGGAAACAACAAGGAGCCCATAAAAGCCTATACCAGTTTTTTACCTAAAGGGGCGATGACTTGGCCTTTAATGCGAAGAGAGGCATGAAAAGACTAATGCATGATGTATAAAGCAAAAATAAATAAATAAAAATAAATAAATAAATAAAAAACACAAAACACCTGAATTCAGCTTTAGTTCTTGTCCGTCCTTATGCAACAACAACACAGACACCTTGCTGTTTTCTCTTTGAGAAATGTGTTGATTATAGGAAAATATTGCTTTACAAGAAATGTGTCAAAAGGCACATTAGACTGAAGTTTTTGTCTATTACAATAAGAACAACCTGTCATGTTGCTGCAAAAAGTCTTGAAAAGGCAAAGTGGCATTTGAAAAAAAAACTCCAACATTCATCAGCTTTGTTTAATAAAGCCAAACAATTATTTAGTACTGACTTTCAAAATAATCTAAACTGACAAAATCCTGACACTGATATTTGAACTGTACAAAAATGTAAAGAAAGCCAAAATCAAAATAAATGTTGTATGTCAAACCTGCTTCATTTGGGGTCATTTTGGTAATGACACACTTGTGTCTTTCATTTCCCGTTAACAGTTTTACACAGGCAGACAGAAACACAGATTAGAAAGTAAGCCTCAAACAGACAGTCACTGTGAAAAAACAAAACAAAACTATAAGTCATTGAAAAAGTTACTGAAGCAGAAATGTCTGTTTATCACACAGCACATTTTATTTCTAAGATGTTTTAGGTAATGAGTTAAAAAGACCTGTCCGGAGAAAACTGAAGTCAATGGGCCTCATGCAAGAACATGTTCGTATTCTTCTCCTAAATTTCTCTTACTTTTGTTCGTACAAAGGG